TCTCCCCGAGGTGAATCCCTCACAGCCCAGCACACATTCCCAAGAGTCAAATCTCTCAGGGTTGTCGGGCAGTCGCTGCCGTGTCTCTCCCTGTCTCACACTTTTCTGATCCCCAGACAGGACAAGCCAGGGATGAGCCGTGTCTGGATCCAGAGTCACATTCGCTGGGGAGAGAGAATCAGAGCGTGAGGGGCAGAGCTCGGCCCTGGGGGAGGGTTTGATGGCGTCAGTGACAGAATCTGCCCCAGCTTAGGAGTGACTCAGGAAATCTCCTTCCTCCAGGATTTACCCATCAGTTCTGAATAGGGAGCAGTTCTGAGATGTCAGCACAGTGCAGGGGAGAGTCATGCCCCTGCCAGAGATGGGCCGCCCTGCAGGAAAAGGGTCACTTGAGCCAGGTCTGGGACTCAGGCTCTTTCATGTCCTGCTCCACATCTCTCCAAGGAGGGGACTAGAGACCCAGGTGTCATGGGGTGCCCCATGGAGTGGTGACAAACTGAGCTCTCTCTCCACAGTGCTCACAGACACACCTCACCTCACCTCACCTCTCCCTGCAGTTTCCCATTTTAAACCCCACATTCCCAGATGAGAGAGATCATCACTGGGAGGAGAGAACAGATGCCTCCCATCCTTGCACCCTCAGCCTACGTGAGAGCAAGGGGAGTGTTGGGGGACAAGGAGCAGGAGGGGAAGGAGGGAGAACAAGCAGAGAGGTGAATGGAGATATGAAGGAAGGGATCCCAGAGGGGAGAGAAAACCATGTTGGATGAGGAGGAGATGGGGCAGGGGAGGCCCAGGGCAGCAGGAAGTGAAAGGTTATAGAGAGTTTGCTATGAGTGTGAAAACAGCAACTCACCTGCCTGTTCCCTCCAAGCAGCCACCAACATCAAACCTGCAGGCCCTTCCATTGCTCCCACTTATTCTGCCTCCACACCAGCCCCATTCAGCTGACTGCCTGCTGCTCTCCCCACCCTCCTGTTCCTGCCAGGCACTGCCTGCCCTCCAGACCCTTCCAAATGCTGCCCCATCCCTCAATCTTCTGGGCCCTTCCCAATCCCGATGTGTCTCCCTCTTTGCACTCTCAGGACTTTACCACTAGGCTCTCTCTTTACCCTAGCAACAGGGTTCTCATCACTGGGCATATTTTATTTTCTCGCCTCCCCATTTTGTCACTTGAAATATCTTTGTTCCTCTCTCTAATCTCTGAATTTTAGCATTTACACTTCCTCTGTTTCCAGATTCTGAATTTTTAATCCTCAGTTGCCAGGCATTTAAGAAGAGACCCAGAATTCAGTTTGCTCCTGTCCCCCAGGGCCTCAGGCAGGGAGGGCGACGTGAGCAGGAACAGCCCTGGGGAGCTGGTGGGTTGAAGGAGCTGTGTCTTTGGCCCTGTGCTAGGGGCTGGGGTATATCAGTGGCTGTGCAGACAGGCTGGGCGATGTGCCCAGGAAGCTCTGCAGGTCGCACTGCACATGAAGGCAGAGGAGGGACAGGAGGAGTAGACACAACAGTGTCTGGATTTACTGCTGTATGTCAGGCCATGGCTACACAACCTCCCTCCCCTCCCAATGTGCTGTGAAATGCAGGATGCTTGCGAGCTCTGCCCTGAGCAATGAACTCCCCTCCCACGGCCACAATCAGGGCCACAATCAGGGGAAAGAAGCAAAACGTTCTAACAGCAGCTGAGATTGGGACATTGATAGAATCTGAACTTCAGTTACCTTCTTGTACAGGTGGCGCAGAACTTCCCAGCCCTGAAAACACAGAATCAGAGATGAGAGCTCATCTGAACAAGCATATTAACAGAAATTAGTTTTGTACAGAGGGAAGCCTCTCATTCGGGATTAAAATGGACAGGCATCTGTTTGAGAGGTTTGTCCGCTGTCCAGCACGGGTGCTAAAATGGATGTGATTTTGTCCAGTATTGGATGGGGGACATCACTCCGCCCCCTCCATCTCTGAAAAATGGTGTCCCCCACGTAGCATGGCGTCACACGCATAATCACGCCAATGAGGATGGGGTGGCACGGGTGGGCCCAAACCAATCCTGACAGTCTGGAAATGTCCAGCATTCTGGGAATGACTGAGTGGCCCCTTATGAGTATAAAATGTTACACTGGGAAAAAAAATAAGTTCTAGAGTTCAGTATAAGTAAACAATCCCCAAATACACATATGAGCATTTCTCTGTCAATGGCTACAATTTTAACAGAAATTCTGCTAAGGAAAAAAAGAGTCTATCACTTTTATAACTATTAATAATCATAAATTAGACTTTCCCTTCTGACAGTCTGAAGTGACATTGCAAACCTGCTAACAAAGACCTGGTCCGGCTGCCATTCATGTTGCTGGCCAATCTCCCCTGGAATTCAATGGGAGTAGGCCTGAGGCATGGAGGGGAATTTTGAAGGGATAGGAGCAGGGCTGCCAACTGAATTGAGGGATAGTTTCCCTCACCCAACCCTGCAGTGCTGACCGGCCCGCCGCCCAGGACTCTGGTGGTGATTTAAAAGGCCTGGGACTCTGGCTGTAGCCATGGCGGCCAGGGACCCTGGGCCCTTAATAATCTCCGGGCCCCAGGGCAGTTGCCCCTTTTGCCTCTCCTATCCCCACCATCCCCCATCGGCAGCCCTGAGTGGGAGAAAAGGGGGTTCTTTTGGCTCCTGTGAATATGATATAAAGGCCAGAGGGCAGCTGGGGCATAGGAGAAGATTTAATATTTTCCCTTTCAAGTTATTGACTGTAGCAGGTTTTTGTCCCTGCAGACAATCTACTGGGGTCAGGGGTCGCCCTCCTTAACTAAAGAGAGAAGGAGTATGAACTTGTTGGCTTTGGGTACAATTTTCAAAATCCACAGAGTGCCTAGGCCCCATTTTCCAAAGGATCCTGGGAGTTTAAGTTCAGTCTTCTCTCCCCACCACCAAACTTATTTCCATATTACCCTTCCCCAGTCTACTGACCCTGACCTACTTCTCAGGCTTTTACCTCCTTCACTGACCAATCTGTCCGGTCCCAACCTGTGCTGTATAGTTTTGGAGTTGGGTGTGTGGCCAGCATAGATGTCTCTCTTAGTGCAATGATGCTTAGCACAAGCAAAAGATAAAGAAAACTCTCTGGCAAGCATGTGGTTTGTGGGGCAAAAATGAGCAAATGCAAATAACGTGTGTCCATTTCTTTTGCTCACATTCCTCCGCTGTCTTGTTAATTTCCAAAGCTGGATGGTTCATCTTCCTGTCTGACACTGGCAGAGACCGGACTAACTCAGAAGACACATGTTAACACACACACATACACACCCCTAGGTTTAGCCTGATGCTGTATCAGCCCCACCACACACTGATTGCAAAGACCACAGGCCAGAGCTGCATGAAGAGCTGGAAGAACTTAAATTATTCCCACCAGTTCCAGTGTCTGTACCTGTTATTGCCTGTAAAGTTCCTTTCTCCACTCTCGCTACCCTTCTGTTGTGTTGTGTTCTCTGGCCACATATTGTGTCCCTGGGGTTGGAGCATTAGCCAGTGTCCCGTGTGTGTGTATTATGATACAATCTCCAATTACATGATCACACACTGTTTTTGCCACAAGACCCCTGCCTCATTCTTTCACTGCCCAGGATAGATGCACAAGGGGTGAGAAGGATGTACAGGCAAGCAGAAAACTGGCATTTCCTAACTATCAAATCTTCAACATTACAGCCTAAATCATATTCTGTTCAGGGGGGTTGTGCAATATTCTGTACTTGTATCATGTCCCCTCTCGCTCCTCTCTTTTAAAGGTAAAAATTCCCAATTTTTTCAATCTCTCCTCATGCTGATTCTCATTGCCTTTCTCTGAGCCCCCTTTTCTTCTTCAATACCCTTTCTGAGATGGGTGAGCAGTACCCAAAACAGAACTCCAGATAAGGGCAAACCACATTGATAAAATGGCTGTATAATATCTCTATGTTGTTCACCATCCCATTTTTATGGATTCTTATATTTTGTTTGACCTTTTCCCCAGAGTTGTGCAGGGAGCAGAGGTTTTTGTCAAGCTGAACACAGTGAATTCCAGGATGCCTTACTGAGTTGCTGATGCACTTATTTTCAAACCCTGTAATGTGAATGAGATGTTCAATTTTTTCCTTCCATGGTACGTTCATTTATCACCAGTGCACTTCATATCCCACCATGTTTCCCTTTCACACAGCTTGGGGGGTAGGTCTCTCTGAACCACCTCACAGTCTTCATGGGACTTGACTAGCCAACCTCAACTGTGGCCCCCTGGAAGAATCATTCCCCACAGGGACCACTCCCAAAATCCCCTGTGCATCCCTCTATTCCTCTCCCACTCCCTAACCTTACCCCTCCCCGTACCACTCCTCTCCTGCCCCATCTTCCCCAAGGAATTCCAGAGCACACACTGGCTCTCTCCGGGCCCTTTCTGGCTTCCCTGGCTTCTCATGCAGCTTGGATCCTACCGTGTGTTTGGGGGGTTGCAGTCAGTGTGTGA